AAATGCATTGCATATAATACGGGTTCAACTTCTTGTAGCTTCAATATTTGTAACGGTCTGAAAGGGTTCCGGGGGTTCTTCTTGTATAACAGTCCTTCTCGGGCGAGATAATGATGTGTTTTAAGCTTCAAAATTCTAATCTGGGCACTAGTATAACTAGAAGGTATTGTAGACTCGCCAAGGTACCTTAAAAATAAGTAATATGTATCTAAATCCATAAAGTTTTGTTAATCAAAATTTGGGTAATCTGAAATCTATATAGTCAAAGTTCAAATAGGAGTAAAAAAAAAATCAATTGTCTTAAATTCGTGAAAGACTATCGGTGTTAAGATGTATTTTTCTGGATCTGTGGATGGTAGTAAATTAAACTTCTGCAAGGTCAGGATCTACCTGGCCAGTCGATTCTGGGGTAGCTGATGAGAAAATAATGATTTCAACGCAGAATGATCTGTATAAAGTGTGAAAGGAACTCCATGAAGATAAGGTCTAAAATATGAAACAGCCCAAATGACGGCAAGACACTCTTTTTCTGTTACAGAATAATTTTTTTCTGCTGGGGTCAAAGAGCGACTTGCATAAGCGGTCACTCTTTCTTTTCCGTTATCATCCAATTAAGAAAGAATAGTGCCTAGCGCTAAGTCTGATGCATCTGTAAAAAGGATAAAAGGTTTTAAAAAATTCGGGTATGCTAAAACTGGAGCCGTGATAAGTTTTTCTTTCAATCTCTCAAAAGCTTCTTGATGCATTGATGTCCAATGATATCCAACGTTCTTTCGTAGTAACAAATTTAATGGAACTGCGATTCTTGTAAATTCAGGGATAAATCATCAATAGTAAGACACTAATTCTAAAAATTCACGTAACTGTCTTAAATTTCGAGGAACAGGAAATTCTTGAACAGCTCGAATCTTTTCTGGGTCAGTTGATATTCCTTGTGCGCTTACAACATACCCTAAAAATTTCAATTCTTTACGGGCAAAATAACACTTTTGGCTTAATTTTTAAACCTGCCTGCTTCAATCATAAAAATACTTCTTTCAAGTGATCTAAGTGTTTTTTCAAACGATCTAGAAAAAATGTTAAGATCGTCAAGATACACGACAACAAATCTTCCACTTATGTCGCTAAAGATTTGATCCATTAACCTCTGGAACGTAGCCGGGGCATTCATAAATCCAAACAGCATAACGTTGAACTCGTAAAGTCCGTATGGAAATAAACGCAGTCTTTTCTTAATCATCTTCAAATATCTCAACCTGCCAATATCCACTGGCTAAGTCTAACGACGTGAACCAAGATGATCTATTCAAAGTATCCAAAAGTTCATCAACTCGGGGTAATAGATAATTGTTTCTAACAGTTACGGCGTTCAATTTTCTATAATCGACGCAAAATCATATCTTTCAGTTTTGCTGCTTAACAATACAACTGGTAACACCCACGGGCTAGTAGATTTTCGAATAATCTGCTCATCCAACATACTATTAATTTCTTCCTTGAGAAATCGCTTTTCTGCGGGAAAATATTGATACGATCGTTGATGAATCGGCCATACGTCTTGGGTTGGAATACAATGCTGAATTATATCAGTCTGGCCCAACTCAGAGATATCTTGAGCACAAAGATTAGGATTTTCTCTAAGTAACTCCAACAACTGCTTTCTTTGGTTGTCTTCTACTTCCCCTATATTATATTTAATATTGAAGCAGCTTCTTTTTTCATAGTAATAATCAAATAGGTCCAATATAGATCGGTTGTCTTCCTCTTGCACTGAAATAAGACTTGCAACAGGTCCTTCATCGTATAATATTATTTCTTCATTCATTCATCTAATATCTCTTTCTTCTATCATAATTTCATCCCATTCTGAGCCTAGCCTTTTTCAAACATTCCCTCTTTCATTGTTAAATTCCAAGATTGTATACAGTTGCTCTTCTAATTCTTCATCTTTGACTTCCTCATCTTTTTCTTCAACTTCGT